ATCAGAATAAACTGGTGATTATAATAGAATCAGGGGCATAGAAAGGGAGTGGACTGACTATTCTTGCGGGGGAAAGGGGTGTGGGGGATGCGGGAAGAGACTGGACAAAAATCATGCACCTATGAATGAGGACAGTGGTGGGGGGGTGAGGGCGGAGGGTGGGAGGGGAACTGGGTGGAGGAGAGCTATGGGGGAAAAAAGAGGAACAACTGTAATAATCTGAACAATAAAGATTTAATTAAAAAAATAATAAAAAAAATAAAAGCCAGGTGGAGAGGCTGCCTCCTTTGCTATAATAGAGGATTTAATGGGCTTTGTTTACTTAGTGAGAAATGTGTTTTTTAAGAGTCATGGAAAGTAGCCCTTCAGTCAACATGAAATACTAAAAATACCATCTAAGCAGCTGGGTCTAATGTTTGGCATGAAGCACAAACTATGGGTTGGAGTGTGAAGCCTCAATTCCATAGAGAATTTTGCAACTGAAGGAGAAAGCAATAGTTCCTGGCATGCTACACCCTGCTGTTTGCAAAACAAAACAAAAAAACATCAAACACTTACTTTAAACTGCCTCCTACACTATACTGTTCCCTGGTCCCAGCAGAAGGGCATTTAAAACATAAAAGGATCTCACATTGCATATGAGCTGAGTTTTTTCACATTAAATTATCTGATATGGTAGGCTAGTTTTAACAAAAGAAAGTAAGATAAAGGGAGAAGCACAAGAATGATGGCAGAGAAAAATGGCAGAGGCATTGGGCTGGGTAATCAACAGTTTCTGTTTTATTCCAATCATAGTATCTGTAATGTGCTAAATGCACTGTTTGGGAAGAACAGTTTATATAGGACAAAAATTTGTGCTTGCTGTGAAGTTCTGATAGGACATCTGATTGGGCAGCTACTGTAACAATCTTGTAAAGGTCAGATGGGTATGTGGCTAGAATAACAAGTACTGCATGTTACAGCTGCCACACTCACAATCATGTGAGACACATCTTCTAGAATTACTTCAAAGGCATAAAATGCCTCATGGAGACAGAAAACTATATATAAAAATCCCCTAAATCCCATTTTAACTCTTCTGCTAATAATGGACAATACAATGGACATAGGATTTGGCCCCCTTTAATGAAATCTTTAAGCAGCTTACCCTTTCTTGACAAGAGAGCACACATTTTGGTGGAAACTCATTTTTGCTTCTGGCAATCATTGTGCTACCAAAAACTGAATTGTATTAAGACCAGTAGAAAAACGTTATTGACAGAGCCAGCATGAATTGATCCAGGAGGTTACTATCAGACATATAGTAGGATACAGACTAGTGTAATAAGTTACATAGTGATCCACTATTTGGAAGTTAACTATATGTGAAAGGAACTATAATTAATTTCCTAGCCATTCTATCTCACCACGATAACTGTTAGGATGGGATATGAATGTGATAGGGGAAGTGAGATAGAGAGGAATTAAAATCTTATTGAGGGAATAGTTAGTTGGTATTATAGATAAAGATTAGGCAGGACTTAAGGTGAAAGGGACCTAGTTCTGTCCTCTATGGCATTTTAAAACAAACCTATTTAAATTGGGATTCATGTAGATTCTTTGTGGTGGATATATAGGTATTCAATGTACAATTCTTTTAACTTTTCTGTATGTATGAATATAAGCCCATGTATTTATCTCAGAGGTGTCGATGGAAGATATGGTAATACTATCCATTTCTTTCCATATAACTTGCCTCTCATAATGAGAAGCATGTTAAATATTTCAGAAACTACAGCTGGTAAATGTACAGGTTGCTAGTAGTTTAGTCTTGGGATCTCACCACAATGATCCTCTCCAATAGCTGGGATGTCTGACCAACTGCCTCACTCAGACCACGACTTAATTTTTCATTCTCCTCCACCAGGGACTGATTCTTCTCCATCAAAGACTGTAGATTCTCTGATGGTTTCACACTAAAACAAAGAAAGAAAGTAACATTAGAAAAATACATGATTAATAACACTTATGTCAAAGGTGGATAAAACTATATCCCACAGGCCTTTTGGGTGGGGCAGTTGGTTTAAAATTACCCCCCAAAGTCTGAAAAAGTGTGTCTATTCCAATCTATTCTCTCATTCAGGGAATGTATTGTAAGAATAAGACACACGTACCTGAAATACTTTATTATTTTTTACTAGAGACCTGCTGCACAAAATTTGTGCACTTCTGGTGTGTGTGTGTGTGTGTGTGTGTGTGCGTGTGTTGGGGGAGGGTGGTGGAGGAGGATCCCTCAGCCCGACCTGTGCCCTCTCGCAGTCCGGGAGCCCTTGGGGGATGTCTGACTGATGGGGAGCGGGCCTAAGCCTGCAGTCAGACATCCTTAGCGCTGCCATGGAGGCGGGAGAGGCTCCTGCCACCACCACTGTGCTCGCCAGCCATGAGCCCAGCTTCTGGTGCACTGACCACCAGGGGGCAGCTCCTGCATTGAGCATCTGCCCCCTGGTGGTCAGTGCACTGTATAGCGACCAGTCATTCCGCCGTTTGGTCTATTTGCATATTAGCCTTTTATTATATAGGAAGGATGTATTTTTATTGAATTTACTAGAGGCCCAATGCACGAAATTCGTGCACAGGGGGTGGGGGTGTCCCTCAGCCCAGCCTGCACCCTCTCCAATCTGGGATCGGGCCTAAACTGGCAGTCGGACATCCCTCTCACAATCTGGGACTGCTGGCTCCTAACTGCTTGCCTGCCTGCCTGCCTGATTGCCCCTAACCGCTTCTGCCTGTCAGCTTGATTGCCCCCTAACTGCTCAGCTGCTGGCCTGATTGACGCCTAACTGCTCCCCTGCCAGCCTGATCACCCCCATCTGCCCTCCCCTGCCAGCCCAGTTGCTCCCAACTGCCCTCCTCTGCAGGCCTGGACACCCCCAACTGCCCTCCCTGTTGGCCTGATTTCGCCCCCAACTGCCCTCCCTTACCGGCCTGATCACCCACAACTGCCCTCCCCTGCCAGCCATCTTGTGATAGCCATCTTGTGGTGGCCATCTTGTGGCGGACATCTTGTGATGACGTGAGGGCGTTGCGCAAGGGCACGAGGACCAACTAGGCTCTTATTAGTATAGATTGAGGTAACATTGGTTAATAAAATTATATAGGTTTCAGGTATACAATTCCATAATACATCATTTGTATATTGCACCACCCCAAGTCAATTCTCCTTCCACCACCATTTATCCCCCTTTTAGCCTCCTTCTACCTTCTTTCTCCTCCCTTTTCCCTCTGGCAATCACCATACTGTAGTCTGTGCCTATGAGTTGTTGTGTGGTGTGTTTTTTGCTTAATACCTGTACCCTTTTCACCCAGTCCCCCAACACCCTTCCCCTCAGATATCTGTCAGTTTGTTCTCTGAATCTATGAGTCTGTTTCTCTTTTGTTTGTTAGTTTATTTTGTTCATTAGATTCCACATAAAAGTGAAATCATGATATGGAGGACAATAATGATTCAGGGCCAGATATGGTTGCAACAGGAACAACTAACCTCTATCCTTGGCTCTTGGTTTAGGATCTTTCTGTTTGTGTTACATAGATAAGAAGTGAAGGCTAACTGTAGCTAAGACACATGTTTTCTCCTTCTTCCCACTCTTAATCTCTCATTAAAGATTAGGAATGTAGGGAAAAAAAGGTACAGAGGAGGTAGGGTCTAAATTTTACCTCATAAACATAAGTCAATTACCTATTTAGTGTGTAGTTTAGTCCCAATAGAATTTAGAAAGTTGAAGTCAGAAAGTTGAAATGGTGAACAGTAGCCACTAAGAGCTCATTTCACAATTCTCCATAAATAAGTGCTCCCTTCTTAAGTGCTTGTCTTGTTTGAAACTGATGACCCATAGCCTTCTGTTCATTTGTCTATCAGTTTTAAATTGCTTAGAGTGGGTGGAGGCAACAATAATTTCCATTTCAAATAGGAGTGGAAGGGAGGGACAGAAAAAATTTCAAGGATGCATATAAATAAGAACCTTTGGAATTTATGCAGATTACTTCATAGTGGTCCCAGACTTATGAAGCAGGCCATTAAGTAGTATAGTTTTGGGGTTTGTTTTGTAATCCACCGGGATTAGCTATTCAAAACACTGAAAAATTGGACTGGTGAAAAAAGATCAGAAAAGCCTGGTCAGTGTTGCTCAGTGGTTGCTTGTCGACCCATGAACCAGGAGGTCACAGTTTGATTCCAGATCAGGGCACATGCCAGGTTTGTGAGCTCACTCCCCAGTGGGGGGCATGCAGGAAGCAGCCAATAAATGATTCTCATCATTGATGTTTCTCTCTCTCTCTCTCTTCCTTTCTGAAGTCAATAAAAATATATTTAAAAAAAGATCAGAAGAAATATAAAGATTTGATCTTAAGAAGACTGAAGGGAAAAGCTAATAGCTGTCAGGGCTATAATAAAGGGTAAAAGGACAGGGAACAGCTGTTCTCAATTGAGGATAAAAGGATAAAAATGATTACAATAACAGATGCCCTCTCACCTCCACGAATTATATTTTTAAATCATCATCTAAGGATATGTTTTTATTTATTTTTAGAGAGAGAAAGGGAGGGAGGGGAGGAGGGGGGGTGGGAGAGAGAAATATTGATGTGAGAGACTCATTGATCGGTTGCCTCCCGCATGTGCCCTGACTGGGGAGCGAAGGAACCTTCAACCTAGGTATGTGCCCCAACAGGGAATTGAACCCGAAACCTTTTGCTGCACCGGACGACGCTTCAATCAACTGAGCCACCTGGCCAAAACAAGACCTCCATGAATTTTTATAAAACATCTTTATCAAAAAGTTAATAACAAGGTCACACCATAAGGTCTCATATTATAGTAGGTCCTTGGGTTACGTCGGAGACCTGTTCCTATGGCGCGACGTAACGTGATTTTCGCTGTAAGTCAGAACCCACCTACATAAGCACCTATGTCACTCACATGGAGCACATACACAGCAGTAATGAGTGAAACAGGTAAAAAATTTTAAAAGAAAGATAACAATTTCTGACCTTTACTTGTGGTAAATAAATAATAAAAAACATAAAGCACATATGTACATACGTCGAAATGATGAAATTTTTTTTATAAATACTGTAAATGGGAGATGGCAACGTAACCACGAAACGATGTATGTCGAATCCGATGTAATCTGAGGACTGCCTATACACTGTTGAAAATTTACTAAGACTCTTATGAAGGAATGTTCAATTAAAATGTGTATTATAAAAATGAACTATCAGTACATTTAGTGTTATTTTAAATTGCTCTGATATTTCCTTCTTTCCTTACTGCTATTAAACTGAAAACTTCCATGCATCATTCATGAAAATTGACAAGCTCCAAAGTAATGATATTTATTAAAGTACAGTTGACATAAAATATCATATTAATTTCAGGTATATAACGTGATTCGATATTTATATAGCTTACAAAGTCTAGTAACATTAAGTCTAGCTGCATTAAGTCTAGTAACTATCTGTCACTGTACAAAGTTATGATATTATTGACTATGTTCCATATGCTGTACATTACATCCCTGTACATTTTCCCCCTAACATTTCTAAGGCTTCTCTAAATGGGGAAAAATACAATGGAAAACCAGTGTTTCCTCTTTCACAAGCTATTTAATTGCCAAAGTAAGAATTCAAGTAAGCTGAGCATGTGCAAATTGAAAAACACTTGCAGAAAATCAATATAAAAGCTTCAATGACACACATTAAAAAATATAATATGATACAAGGACAAAAATTAAAAAAACCATGTATATAAATTGTACATTTTGTTAAAAGACTTATGAAAGGTCTCTAAAATATAAACATATTTTTGAGATAAAAGTAGCATATTTATTTCTCTGTAAAACATTGAACTGATTTCAATTGTTTGATTCATCAACTATTTCTTAGAATCGATTACTCTTGCAGCTATAAGTATATCCTATAGTATATCCTAGGTTGTTGGAAGTCTGGAATGATCTTCATTAGTCTTGTGTTACATGAAATAGGCCTGTGCTAAATTGAAAGGAAAGGAAGATGGGCCAATTGCTTCTAAACCAAGTATACTAGAATAGGTCTTTAAGAGACCCTTTGAGAGAACCCAGCTTTCCTCAGTTTCTTTATCCAGCATTCTTAAAATATTACCAAGGAAATCAAGATTAAATTACCAAAAGGGGGAGAATTACAAAGACAAAGGTGGTCATCTGTGGGTGACAAAATTATGGCAATTTTAATATTTATTTTTTATACTTTCTAAATATAGCAGTGTATCACTTTTATAATCATAAAAATGATTAAGGGTTACTAAAAATAAAGTTAGTAAAAACAATAGGCTCACACCATTCACACGAATAAACTCCAAATAAAAAGTAAAACATAAAACCAACATAAGGACTAGAAGAAAACATTGGTGAATTCCTCTTTAACCTTGGTATAGGAAAAGGTTTTCTAACTATGAATCAAACTCCAGAAGCATGAGGAGAATGTAAACAGTGTCACTTTGGAAAACAGTTTGGCATTTTCTTAAACATATGACCCAGCAATTCCACTTCTAGGTATCTATCCAATAAAAAACACATGCCCACACAAAAACTTGCCAGTGAATACTCATAGCAGCATTACTCATAATAGCCAAAAAGTTGAAACAACCAAAAAGTTTATCAACTGCTGAATGGATAGACAAAATATGGTCTATCCAGACAATGAAATACTATTCAGCAATAAAAAGGAATGAAGTACTGATACATGATACAACATGGACGAATCTCAGAAATATTATAGGCGAAAGAAGCCAGACAAAAAGTCCACATACTCTATGATTCCATGTATATGATATGTTCACAATAGGCAAATCTCTAGGAACAGAAAGCAGGCTAGTGGTTGGCTGGGGCTGGGAGTGGGAACAGGAGTGACTGCAAATGGACAGAAGGGATCATTTTGAGATGATGGAAATGTTCTAAAATTAGGTTGTGGTGATAGTTGTACAACTCTGTGAATTTACTAAGAGTCACTGAATTGCCCTAGGTGGTTTGGCTCAGAGAATAGAGTCAGCCTGCGGACTGAAGGGTCCCAGATTCGATTCCCATTAAGAGCACATGCTTGGGTTGTGGGCTCAACCCCCAGTAAAGACTGTGCACAGGAGGCAGCCAATCAATGATTCTCTCATTGACGTTTCTATCTCTCCCTCCCTCTCCCTTCCTCTCTGAAATCAATAAAAACATGTTTTAAAAAATAAAAGTCATTGAATTGTACTTAAAATGAGTGAATTTTCAGGTATACAAATTATCTCAATAAAGTTGCTAAGGAATACAGAAGCAATAAAAAATGACTGATAAACTTTTCACTACATAAAAATTAAAAAAATTTTGCATAACAAACACTATAAACAAAGTAAGAGAGAATACACTTGAAGAAAAATACACTAAAAAGAACTAATATTCACCAATATATAAAGAACTATTAAAAATAAGGGCCAAAATTAGGGTGACTATTATGCAGCCACTATGGAAAATAGTATGGTGATTTAAATAAAAAGTTTTAATGGAATTACTATATGATCCAGTTATTCTCCTTTTGGTTACATATCCAAAGGAATCAAAAGCAGGGTCTTAAAGAGACATCTGCACACCTATGTTCATAGCAGCATTATTCACAATTTCCAAAAAGCACCTTGTGTCCATTGATGAATGAATGAATACACAAGAAATGGTATATACAAGATGAGGCAAAAGTAGGTATACAATCGGGGTTATGCAAAATACAAAGAATTTATTCTTAGATTATTTATTAACTAGAGGCCCAGTTCACGAAAGTCGTGCACACGTAGAGTCCCTAGGCCTGGCCAGTGATCAGGGCCTCCCTTTCCCTGGCTGCCAGCTGCCGGCCAGGGCCTTCCTTCATTCCGCAACGCCTGCTGGTGGTCAGTGCATGTCACAGTGAGCGGTCGAACTCCCGGTCGGTAGAACTTCCGAGGGGACAATTTGCATATTAGCCTTGTCTCATATAGGATTATTGTATTACTTTTCATACGAACTATAAACCTACTTTTGCCCCACCCTGTATAATCAATGAAAAAAGCCAGTCACAAAAAGACAAACACTGTATGATTCCACTTATATGAGATATCTAAAGTAGTCAAGTTCATAGAAACAGAAAGTAGAATGGTGGTTACCAGGGGCTGAGGAGAAAGGGCACAAGGAGTTATTGTTTAATGGGTATATAATTTCAGTTTTAGAAGATGAAAAAGTTCTGGAGATCTGTTTCACAACAAGGTAAATATACTTAATGCTACTCAACTGTGCACCAAAAATGGTTAAGATAGTAAATTTTGTGTTATTTACCATAATTTAAAAAGAAGAAAAAACTTACAAGAAAACTAGAAGAAAATATAGGTGATGGTAAAGAGCATTCTATAAATACGAGCATTGGCAGAAAACTGCAAAAGAATAGATGGGGGTGGGGGTGGGGAGTTGTTTAATGAGTATGGAGTTTCAGTTTTGCAAGAAGCAAAAGTTCTGGAGATTCAATGCACCACAATTTGACTATACATAACACTTCTGAACTGTACACTTAAAAATGATTAAGATGGTAAATTTTATGTCATATATATTCAACCTTCCTCCTATATATGGGCATTTAGATTGTCTCCAATATTTGGCAATTACATAGATGCTGCAGTGTGTGTGTGTGTGTGTGTGTGTGTGTGTAAATGTGTGTTGTTAGTCATTTATCTTCAGGGTAGATTTTTAGAAATGGGATTGCTGGGACAAAGGTAAGTGCATGTCTGGTTTTGTCAGATATTGTCATATTCCCCTCCAGAAGGGTTACACCCATTTGCATTCCCAACTGCAGTGTATAACAATGCTTATTTCCTCCACAGACTCGCCAATGAAATGTGGTGTCATATTTTTCCATTTTTTACTAATCTAATAGGTGAGCAATACTGTCTCAGTGTTGTTTGAATTTGTATTTCTTTACTTATGAGTGGGCTTGAGCATTTTTTTATGTTTCAGGGCTACTTTTATCTCTTTTTCTGGTGAACTGTCTATTCATGTGTCCCATTTTTCTAATGAGTTTTTTGATACCTTGGCCCTTTTTCTAAAAATTGTGGTAAATATACAAAACATAAAATGTACCATTTTAACTATTTTTAAGTATACAGTTAAAAATGTACACTTGAAACCTATATAATCCTATTAACCAATGTCACCCCAATAAATTTAATTTAAAAAATACAGTGGATTTGAAGGGGGGGAAGAATATTCACAATGTTGAGCAACCATCACTAGCATCTATCTTTAAAACTTGTTTATCTTGCAAAACTGAAACACTGTATGCACTTACAATAACTGCCCATTTCCTCCTCTCCCCAGCCCCTGGCAAACATCATTCTACTTTCATTTGATTGCTATAAGTACCTCATATGGGGGGAAAATCATACAGTATTTGTCTTTTGTAATTATCTTGTTTCACTTAGCATAATGTTTCCAAGATTCATTCATGCTGTAGCATGTGTCAGAATTTCCTTCCTTTATAAGCCTAAATAATAGTCCATTGTATGAATACACCACATTCATTTATTCATTCATCTGTTGATGGACATTGTGTTGCTTCCCCATCTTGGCTGTTGGGAGCATGGGAGTGCAGATATCTCTTTGAGACCCTGCTTTCAATTCTTTTAGGTGTATATCCAGAAGTAAAATTGCTAGATCATATGGCATTCTATTTAAATTGTTTGAGGAAACTCCATACTCTTTTCCATAGCAGTTATACCATTTTACAACTCCTCCAACAGTGCACAAAAGTTCTAATTTCTCTACATCCTCCTCACATCCTTGACAGCATTGGTTATTTCCTGTTTTGTTTTTATAATAGTCATCCTAATGGGTGTACAGTGATCTCATCATGGTTCTGATTCGCATTTCTCTGCTCTGAGTATATCTTTCTGTATAACTCTGACTTAGAGCATCATAATATTTCACATACCTTTATATCCAAAATATAAACAATTAAAGCCAACCAAGATGTAGAGGGGACCCAAAATGGAATACAAAGTGACTGTTGGAAATAGCACCTTGCCTAGATAATCTAAGCCTAAAGACAAAAAGAACAGTACATAATCTAATTCATACGAGTGTTTCTCACAGGGGTATGGGCTAGCAATCCTGAAACTACTTTATATGTATACTAGAACTGAACAAGTAGTAAATAGATTTCAGATAATCACTGTTGAAGAAAGAAGTTTATAAATAAGGAGAGGAAGGCTAAAATGAACCCTGTAGTGTTGGACTGGAATCAGAGGTATTAGTATAAAATCATGGTTTTTAACATACAGGGTGGGGCAAAAGTAGATTTACAGTTGTTTGTATGGAAAATAATACAATAATAAATAATAATGCAAGAATAACCTCTATTTCATGTACTCACAACTGTAAACCTACTTTTGCCCCACCTTATTTATACAGGTACATAGATATAAAAATATAGATAGGAGCATATGTGTGTTACTATGCATACAGGTATTTCCTAGCATTACTCACTGAGGGCACCTAGAAGTAGTGACACCCCAGTAACAATGAGCACACCTATATGCCCAGATCTGGTTTATAAACACCATTTTCAATTTAAAAAAATACCATGGCTCCTTGGAGATTTGGTTGATTCCAGACTGGGGTGGCAAAAATACAAGATAGGTGTAGAACATTTTATGGAAATGCTCAAAAAGTTGAGGACATTTTAAAGAACACAAGAGCCATCCTAAGGGAGCTCCTAGTGGACAAAGCATGAACACTTTGAGCAATAAAACAAATAATAAATACCCATGAGACTATATGGATATAAACAAAAAATCAAGTAAATAAATGGGAGAGCAGTGACAGCTCTTTCTCATAGAATTCCAATTAACAAATTTCTGAGGCCAACCCTAGCCAGTTTGGCTCAGTGGATAGAGTGTCGGCCCGCAGACTGAAGGGTCCCAGGTTCAATTCTGGTCAAGGGCACAAAGCTCAGTTGAAGGCTTGATCCCCTGTACCAGTTGGGGTGTGTGCAGGAGCCAACCAATCCACGTGTCTCCCTTACATCGATGTGTCTCTTTCACATTGATGTAATTTATCTCTGCCTCTCCCCCTCCCTTCCACTCTCTCTAAAAATCAATGGAAAAATATCCTCAGGTGAGGATTAACTAACTAACTAACTAACTAACTAACTAAGTAAATAAATTTCTGAGGCCAGAACCTATGTTCTTCCTATTACATCAGGCTTACTCAAAGCTAACTAGCTAAGTCCAAAACAGTCAGCAGGTTTGGTAAGATCCCTACCTTGACATCAGTGCTACTAGAAACTTTAATATATCAGGGGAAAACAACCATCAGGAGAAATAGGCTTTGCTAGAATTTACATTTAAAATTAATATATGACTCTTACTTTATAGATCCAGGCAGGGTACCTCCATGGGCTTGTAGCAACAAGACCTGTAGCTGCTGTACCTGGGAAATGCAAAGGAAAACAGTCACCAAACAAAAGCTATTCATCCCTTTATCAGTGAAATTACTGCAAGAGCAGTCACGAAATTGTATTCAATACATAGGAAATCTAAGGCATTATCTTAGGTATTACAGAGAGCATCAGGGTTGATGATTCAATGATAAAAGGACAATCAGCACTGTATGAATAACTAGTATTTAGAAGATAAGCTGTCCCTTTCACCTAAGTCTCTTAATGACTTTTATTGAGACTCATTTTTATTATTAAATTTATTGGGGTGTCATTGGTCAACATGAACATATAGTATTGAGCCTTGATTTTTTTTAAAAAAAATCAGCTCTAGCTGGTTTGGCTCAGCGGGATAGAGCGTCGGCCTGCAGACTGAAGGGTCCCGGGTTCGATTCCGGTCAAGGGCACATGCCTGAGTTGTGGGCTTGATCCCCAGTAGGGGGTGTGCAGGAGGCAGCCGATCAATGATTCTCTCTCATCATTGATGTTTCTATCTCTCTCTCCCTCTCCCTTCCTCTCTGAAATCAATAAAAA